TAATTGGCATTTGTTTGTGTTAGTGTGCTTTCTAAATATTGTTGTATCATATTTTTTGTCATTTTTTCTTATTAACACGTCAAGAAATGATAAAGTTTTATTACATTCTAATTCGATCGTAAATTTTATGTTTTTATGTATTTTGTTTATTGCATCTAATATTTCTAAAGCGTCTTGTTTATTTCCTTTCATTATTACAAACACATCATCTACATATCTAATCCATGTTATAATTTTTATGATGTCAGTGGTTCTATATGTTTTTTTTCTAAATTATTCAATAAAAATATCTGCCAAAATGGGAGCAAGAGGGCTACCCATAGCAACACCTTCTTTTTGTCTGTAATACTCATTATAAAATCTGAATTGTAAATTACGCAGTGCTAAATTAAACAATATATATGTTTCTGATTTAGTTAACTTCATAAATTTCATTGTTTTGTTTTTTTCCCATAACATCTTTACCGTATATAATGATTCCACGTCGAATGATAACATTATTTCATTACTACCAACTATTTTGTTCTGTAACATTTTAACGAATTCAAAACTATCTTTTACATATGATGATGATTGATCATTACATTGTTTTATCATTGAAGCTAGATGTGCTGCTATTTTATAATTTGGTGCATTACACATTGATATTATAGGTCTAAGAGGATAATTTTGTTTGTGAACTTTTACTGTGCAATACATCGTTGGTATTGAGCTTCCTGATACAAATAATTTCATATTCTTTTGCTGTGATCTTTTTATTTCTTTTTAATTGTGTTAACCGACGATTAATCTTTTGCTCCTCTTCCATAGTTTCATCAACATTCCCTACTATGAACTTCTTACTGACCTTTAGCATTTCATTTACTTTCTCAACATAATCTTTTTTATTCATGATTACGACTGCATTACCTTTATCTGCTTTTAATATCACTATTGTTTTATCTAATTTTAATTCTCTTAATGCCTGGAGCTCTTCATTGCTTAAATTTCCAATTGATTTCTTTTCTGTTCTCTTTAACATATCATTCGCTATTATTTTGATTTGATCACATATTTTAATCCAAGAAGGATTTCCTTCAGGTATCTTTTGTTTAATTATTTGCATTCCATATTCTATTTCTGTTTTCACATTTAATGTTTCATTCATTTTTTGTTCAATACAAAATTTCCAACCTCTACCTAGTAATTTCAACTGTGGATGAGTTAATTCTTTGTCTGATAAGTTGTAGACTAACTTTTCTATATCTAACATTTTCGAAGTTGTGTGATCACATACCACTCCTAATAAGTTTGACAGTTTCTTTTCATGTAAGTTGCTAATACGTTCTGTTTCAGATCTTTGTAAGTCTACTAGATAAGCCTTAAATCTGTATTTATGACGTATACTAAACTGCTTATAAAATTCATCATCTGACAATGTATTTAATTCTTGTTTCATGTTCTTCACAACTTTTAACTTCTGTATATACTCCGTAGTTAATAATTGTCGTTGAAATGCTTTTACTTTTGATGAATTTTGTAATTTTTTATTTGATAATTTAAACCGAACAAATTTTGGTGTAAGAGAGTGAATGAGACAATACCGGAGAAATTCAATGTCAGACTGGGCTTTAACTAGTTTTATAGTTTTCCGTTCTATATAACGAAATCTTATTAAGGCACATTCGCCATATCTAACAC